GTTGTTTGGCGGGTCCGGGCTGGGGACTCGAACCCGCCACCTTAGGTGTACGTGGCTGGCGCCTTAGCCGGTTGAGCTATAGGCGCCGAGCCCATATACACATACTTTTAGGACTGTTTTTTTTTTTAACTCTGGTTTTATTTTATTTATTATTTATTTATTTATTTTTGAGACAGAGTCTTACTATGTTGCCCTTAGTAGAATGCTGTGGCGTCACAGCTCACAGCAACCTCCAACTCTTGGGCTTAAGTGATTCTCTTGCCTCAGTCTCCAAATAGCTGGGGCTACAGGTACCCACCACAACACCCAGCTATTTTTTGTTGCTGTTGTTTAGCTGGCCTGGGCTGGGTTTAAACCTGCCACCTTTGGTGTATGTGGCTGGCACTGTAACCATTGTGCGACAGGCACCAAGCTGTGGTTTTGTTTTTGTTTTGAGAAAGAGCCTCAAGCTGTCCCCCTGGATAGAGTGCTGTGACATCACAGCTCACAGCAACCTCCAACTCCTGGGCTCAAGTGAGTCTCCTGCCTCTGTCTCCCAAGTAGTTGGGACTACAGGCGCCCACCATAATGCCTGGCTATTTTTTGGTTGCAGCCATCATTGTTGTTTGGTGGGCCCAGGCTGGATTTGAACCCGCCAGCTCAGGTGTATGTGGCTGGTGCCTTAGCCGCTTGAGCCACAGGCACCAAGCCTTGTTTTGTTTTTTTTTTTTTTTTTTAATAAATTGATCTCTTTTTCATTGTAAAGGCTTTCATTGCTCATGGTAACACTCTATGTTCTGAAATTTTTTATATTGTTATACCACTTCTGCTTTTTAAATTAATGTTTCATTGGTATATATCCTTTCTTTCCTTTACTTTTGAATAGCAACTTTATTGATATATAATTTTTACACCATATAATCCACCTATTTAAAGTGTACAGTTCAGGCTCAGTGCCCAAAGCATAGTGGGTATAGTGCCAGCCACATACATCGAGACTGGTGGGTTTGAACCTAGCCTGACCAGCTAAACAACAATGACAACTACAACAAAAAATAGAATAGCTGGGCATTGTGGCTGGCACCTATAGTCCCCCGCTACTTGGGAGGCTGAGGCAAGAGAATTGCTTGAGCCCAAGAGTTTGAGGTTGCTGTGAGCTGTGACGCTACAGCACTCTACCGAGGGTGACATAGTGAGACTCTGTCTCACAATAAATAAAGTATACAATTCAGTGGTTTTCGGTTTATTTACAGTGTTGTATAACCATCACCACTATCAATTTTAGAATATGTTTTACCACCTTTTAAAAAAACCTTATACATGCCTCTTCACTGCCCCCTCCTCCAGCCCCAGGCGACCACTAACCTACTTTTTGTGGCTATAAATTTCCCTGTTCTCTACATTTTATAAAAATGGAATCATATAATATACACTTTTTTGTGACTGGCTTTTTTTATTTAGCATATTTTAGGGATTCATCCCTGTTGCAACATGGATTAGCCCTTCAATCCCTTTTATAGACAAATCATTTCCCATTGTATTGCTATCCTACATTTTATTTATCTATTTATCAGTTGTTGGACATTTGAAATACTGGTGTGAACTCAGTGGATTTGCCCTGAAGGGCTCAAATAATTCTGAAAGCATAGTGGAGATGGAGATAGTGGGAAGGGGAAGTAACTCCTTCTATGATTGTAGAAACTGTTTTGTTGTTGTTGTTTTTAATTTTTTTTTCTTTTTTTGAGAAATAGACTGCCGATAAGATCAGTAAATCATGAATTGGCTCTATCTATCCAATTTAGTACCATGTTGCATTCCCCACTGTTTACGCCACAGAAAAGCCAGTTTCTGAAATATCAGCCTAATTCAGTGAAACTTTTTCAAATAAATAATTTCATTCAAGTGAAGAATTTCCAGGAGGTGAAATTGCATAGTATGACCGCCAGGCCTCTCACACTAGTCTGACTTTTAGCTGTTGCCAAAAGCAAGAGAATGTTTCATTTGGAAATGTTCCTTATTCTTATTTTTAGGTAAATCTTTACTTTGCAGACAGCAGGGTTTTTAATATTATCTTGAAGTTAACTGTGGAAACCACTGATCCTATGTGGTAGACAACATCGGCCCACACAGTACTCTTGCGTAGACTTTGGCCCTGGGACATTCAGGTTTGATTTCCACAGTATTTCTGGTGCTGACAACTCTTGCTTCCTATACAGCTGATGCCAACACAGTGAAGAGAGAGGAATTAACTCTCAGGCAGGAGAGAATGAGAGTCTCTGAGAGTGCTAGGAGCAGAGCTGGACTCCCATAGAGTATAGCAATCCCTGTCTAGCCGCTCAGGGGATAAGCCCCAGGCTGCCATTTTTCATGGTGGAGGGAGAAGAGAAAAAGAGGCTGTGCATTCCTTTCACTGCAGTGGCCAAGAAGGGATTTCAAAAGAAGTTTTAAACCTGGGTTTCAAAATGTATCCCTGCTGTCACTGGCTCTTTCAGACTCTCCCTACCTAGATTATAACGATAGCTTCCAAATTGGTGCCTCTTCCTCCAGGATCCTGATTTTACTTTATTCCGTCTTCTCCTGGACATGAAAAGATGGTAGTCCCTGACTTCCTGAGAAGTCATGAGAGTGAGTCTTACTCATAGTGTAGAAATGGAAAGCAAAAACTAAAGCATCCCTTCAGCAACCTCCCCCTCCCCCTTTATTTTTCTTCTCATTTGCATTTAGGGGCCAGGTAACAACTGGAGGAAGCCAAGGGTATAATACTAAGGAACAAGTAGGAACTGTATGAGAACCCCTCTTAAAGGTGTTCAAATTTAAACTTAAGAAATCTAACAAACATCTTCCTGCAGACCAAATTTGTTCCTGGGCTGCCAATTCACCACACCTACCAGTAGGTCTTTCCGTGCATTTCTAATACATGCACAAATACCTCAGTATTATCAATATAAATATAGACATTTAGATACAAGATACTTATGTTTTCAGACAAGTAGGATTACAATATACATATTATTTGAACTGTGTTTATTCATGTAACAGAGAAGCTTTATGTGTCAGATGACCTCATAACTAAGCACTGTACAGATGGATATTTAGGTTGTTTCCAGTTTGAATTTTTTCCCCCCCAAATAATGCAGTGTTGTTCATCCTTGGGAAAAGGTCAGGTAGTAGACAAGTAGAATAAATGTGAGAAAGTGGAATTGCTGGGTCAGTTTTGATAGCTATTGCCAAAATGCCCTCTGAAAGAGTTATATCTATTTAATTCCACCAACAGTATTCCTCTGTTTAATTTTGAACTTTTTTCCCCTGTATATGTCTCATTAGGCATTCCCATTAAAATAGCTGCCCTCTTTTCACTGGTCCAGAGTGAACTACCTACAGAAGGTTTCTTTACTCTGTTTATTGAAGAACTGGAGGAACATAAATATGTTTTGCCTACATAAAGTTAATGGCCTGTGATAAAGAATGTAGACTTTCAAGCAGCCTTCCATGTCGTTTGGCTTGGGAAACACTGGGTTAGTGTGCTAGACACCTGGCATGGGTTTGGAGGGAAAAGGTGGGCCTTCTTAGCTAGTGCCTGCCAAGTTGGACCACAGCCTCTACCGCCTACCCCTTCCTTCCTGCTCAATGTACACATCCCCAAAGTCTGTGCTCAACTGATTCTCCTCAGCAAGGGAAGGACTGGAGAGTAGAGGATGAGAATGTGTGTTCTTCTCCTGGAGTCTGATTACCTTAGTTAAGCTGCTGGGTAGGGCTGGAACTTCCTTTATCTACTGGGCCATACCACCACAGGCTTCAGAGATCTCTTCCCTCACTCCCTGCTCCAATATCATCTTGGTGAAAGCCCCACTCTTTTGTCCACTGACCAAGGGCCCTTCTCTGTGCCAGAGGCAAAGGAATGCTTTGAAACAATAAAGAAACTTTAAACATTATGGGTTCTAAGAAATAGAGCCTTCAGTAGAGGCTGATTTACCAACAAATAAATTGTTTCTACAAAAGTTAGACGGTGTTGTTCTGGTTCTAGCAACTTGCTTGTTCTTTAAGATCTCTTGGGTACCATCTTGTTTCCCTGCCACTTTCCCTATTCCCTTGCTGATCTCCATCCCCTTGAAACTCCCACAGAATTTTGTTCATAGCTGAATCACATCATTGAGCACGTTGTTTGTAATCAGTTAATGTGATTGTCTCTGCCACTGGATATCATGCTTCCTGGGTGTCAGGCACTCTGCTAAGTTCTCTTCATATATTGTGGCATTGGGACCTCCAAATTTCTCATAATTTCTCGGTATCTCTATCTTTGGCAACTCTGGACCATTTTATGGTGACTTCCAATTCAGATTTTTCTTCTTCTATCGGGGGTGTCCAACCTGCAGCCTGTGAACCACATGCAGATTATTTAAGGACTGTCTTGCTTATCTGTGGTGTCAGATATTGTGAAGATTATGCACAAACCTTTTTTTCCTCATTAGCTTTTGTTAGTGTTTGTATTTTTAATGTGTGATCCAAGACAACTCTTCTTCTAATGTGTGGCAGAAAAAAGAAAAAGGTTGGACACCTTTGTCTACTTAGGAGTTTAAAAAAAAAATCTACTTATTGGTTTATAACACATCAGTCCCTTGGCAAAAATATTCACATTTATGTAATAAGAACAGATTATGCAGAATAATAGCAAGATTGTTTTCTCATTTAGTGTGACAACAGGAGTACTTATTTGGTTTTTGTTAAATTAACACCATAAAAACCAAATAAGTACTCCTGTCCACTAGAGTAGTGTAAGTATTTTCTCTTTAGAAGATAAATTAGGCTTGGCGCCTGTGGCTCAAGTGGCTAAGGCGCCAGCCACATACACCTAAGGTGGCGGGTTCGAATCCAGTCCAGACCCACCAAATAACAATGACGGCTGCAACCAAAAAATAGCCAGGCATTGTGGCGGGTGCCTGTGGTCCCAGCTACTTGGGAGGCGTAGGCAGGAGACTCGCATGAGCCCAGGAGTTGGAGGTTGCTGTGAGCAGTGAAGCCATGGCACTCTAACCCAGGGGGACAGCTTGAGGCTCTGCCTCAAAAAATAAATAAATAAATAAATAAAAAATAAAAGATAAATTAACTCTGTAATCATTAGTACTTTATAAAATAATCTGTAGGTTTTCAGCTATCATTTTAATTCTATGAAACTTTTTGATAAATAAGCACATAGATCTGTATTCAAATTCTGATTCCAGAATTTACCACCTCTGAAACCTTTGGGCAAGCTCCTTAATCTTTCTTTCTTTTTCTTTCTTTTTTTTTTTTTTTTTGAGACAGAGCCTCAAGCTGTCCCCCTGGGTAGAGTGCCATGGCTTCACTGCTCACAGCAACCTCCAACTCCTGCGCTCAAGCAAGTCTCCTGCCTCAGCCTCCCAAGTAGCTGAGACCACAGGCGCCTGCCACAACACCCGGCTATTTTTTGGTTGCAGCCATTATTGTCATTTGGGGGGCCGGGGCTGGATTCGAACCCACCACCTTAGGTGTATGTGGCTGGCGCCTTAGCCGCTTGAGCCACAGGCGCCGAGCCAAGCTCCTTAATCTTTCAAAGCCTCAGTTTTCTTATTGATAAAATTAGGAAAATGATAGTTCTTTTTTTTATAGGGTTATGATCAGAAATAAAAAAAAGTACATAAGGAGTTTAGCATAACATCTGACACAAAGTGATCAAAAATGTTTGCTATTATTTATTCTTATCATTATTATAAAATGGTGGGTTGGAAAATGGGACATAGAAATGAATAAGATGTCCCCGTTCTCAAGCAGCTCAGCTATATAGTAGAAAAGAAAGACAGGCACAGTGGCTCACACATATAATCCTAGCATTCTGAGAGGCCAAAGTAGGAGGATTGTTCCAGCTGAGGAGTTTGAGACCAGGTAATGCCATCTTTACTAAAAATAGAAAAATTAGCCAGGTATCATGGTACCCATGTGTAGTCCCAGTTACACAGGAGCCTGAGACAAGAGGATTGCTAGAGCCCAGCAGTTTGAGGTTGCAGTGCCTAAGGTGACTCCACTGCACTCTACCTGGAGCAAGAGAGTGAGACTCTATTTACAGGAAAGAGAAAAGAGAGAGAGAGAGAGAGAGAAGACAGATTTGCAGATCTCATAAACATCACTACAAGACAGTGTGATAAGTGTAACTGGTAAAATATGGACAAGGGATAGAGATAGCACAGAACAGGGAGCAAGAAAGTTTCATGGTAGGCTTTCAAGAAGCAGTGACAACGAAGTTGATTTCTGAACAACAATTAACAATTTTTTAAGTAATGAAAGTGGGAAAAGACATATTTGGTAGCTGAGAATAACATGCATAAAACATGGAAAAAGAAAACTGCAGGTTGTTTGGGGAGAAACTGCAATTAGTAATGTTTAGTCCGATTATGCAGTTTTGGGAAGTGGGCAAGATAGGGCTGGGAAGACAGAAGAGTCTAGAAGAAGGCAAGGACCAAATTTTGAAGTGTTTTGCCTGCCAAGCTAAAGAGCTTGAATTTAGTACCAGCAACAGGGTGTCAGTAAAGAGTTTTAAGAAGAAAAGAGATGTGATCAGATTTTCATTTTAGAAAAATCACTTTGGCAGAATGACGGGCTAGAAATGTGTGACAGTGTATCCAAGTGACAGATAATGGACTGAACAAGGGCAAATGGCAGTAGGAATGGAGGGAAGCAAGATGAATTCAACTGATATTTGGGAGGTAAGATGAAAAGGATGAAGAGGAGGGAAATTCCTGGGATCTGTACTCAAGGCTGCTAGACCCATTGGCCGCCTCGTTTAACTATCAGAGGTATTGGCGCTATCTGTGTGTGGCAGACTGGAGTAGATGGTATGCATTAGCCAAGACAGAGAATACTGAAGGAAGCTTAGGTTCTGGGGTACCAGGATCAGTTTGTAGTGTGGGAAAGAGGAGGCAGGGAAGGGTAGTGAATGTAGCTTAGCCCTTGTTGAGTATGAGATAGCTGTGAGTCATCTGTGCGAAGATGAACAGAAGGTAGGCAAATACATGGATTGAGTCTGTGGGGTAGAGGATAGGACTGGAGATTGGGGACTCTTTAGGGTAATTACGAGGTTAGGGAGATGGCTGAAATATAGACGGCTCACCAAGGGTCTCTACATAATTAATAACTATCAAGATATCACTTCTTTGACTTTCACTTTTCTTAAGTAAAAGTACTCAGATCAGACCGTGTACTACTTTATTCTCCTTTATCCAACGCCTTAGGCTACTAAAGCGCCGCCTGCCATTTCATACCCTTTGCCATAGGCGGCGCTGACGCCAGGCAGGAAGAAGGCGGTAGCACATGTTGGGCTCGGGGGCGAAGGCTTGTGCGCGGAGAAGGCGACGCTCTAGCCCAGAGCCGGGTATTCGGTGGCTTCGCCGGGTCTTCCCAGGGGACTGGGTTAAGGCCGAGAACCTCTGGCCTCAGGAAGCGCATGCGCAACCCGTCCCCCCCAACATGGAGTCTTGTAGCCCAGGTCTTACCTGAATCAGGTAAGAGACTGGCTCGGAAGAAGTGGCCCCTCCACTCATACCCTCTGAGCCCATTCCAAAAATGGGATTCACCCCACTTGGGGTGTGTGGCTAGTGTGCGTGGATCCCACCTATCCTGGGACCAAGTGAGTGAGAGTGGCCCAGGAGGGCGTGAGGATGCGCTGGCGAGTGCAGGGCTACCCTGGGCAGCGAGGGTGCCTGCACCAGGTGCCACCGCCGCGCCCACGCGAGGGCCACGTGGGCCTTGCTCGGTCCTCTCCCAGAACCTCGGGGACCACGAGGACACAAAAGTCACCCAGCCCTCGCCCGAGGCATGACTCTTCTGCGACGTTGAGTCATCCCGGGCTCGACAGTCCCTTGGCGTCAATACTTGATGATTCAGGAGGCTGTGCCTTCTCATTTGGGCACAGCCTGGGGGTTCGGAAAGGTCGCAGGCGCACAGACGTAAAGGAACAGTGGAGGGCGAGGTGCCGGCAGCCCGGGGGTCGGGGCGCGACCGCTCGGCGCCCGGTGGGTGCTTTCCTCTTGGGGAGGGAGCAGCGAGTGTGGGCGCTGCTGGGGAGGCAGCCGGCGTGGAACCCGCGCCCGGACCGCGAGGCCGGGGAGCTGCGGGGCCTGCGCGGGCGGGGCGGGGGGGGGGCGGGGGCGGGCAGCTGAGGAAGGTGCGAGGTGATGACAGCGTTCGAGGAAAACTGAAACACCTGCTCCTGGGTTGAGTCATCCAGGCTGGAGGAATAATCTCGTGTGGAAAGTAGTTAAAATTTAAAAAAAAAGCGAGAAATAGTGTGCTGTAGCCCTTTCTTCCTCAGGAAGCTAGAAAATTGCTTGTCTCTTTGAAAGACAGTAGCTGTTTTCCTTAGGGGACTGGTGAGCGACAAATGAGATAATATATGTGAAAGAGTGAAGAGCTATAAAAATGCAAGATTCATTATTTAATTAGAATCCTTCAACCTATTTATCTGTTGGAGTGGGTATGATGTCCTCTAGATATGATGGTGGAGCAGGACTTCCTGGTATGGGGTAATGGGGTGTGTGGAGTGAGGCAGAGGGGTATGAAGATTCTTCAGGGGTGTTCACGAATGCTGTTACCTGTAGAAAACACACGCTGCCATTTAGATTCATCCTGTCTGGATAAGGGGGTTATTCAGCTCAGTGCTTCCCTCCTCTACCACTTATTTGTTGAATGTTTTGTAGCCAAGACTTTTACCCAAAAATGAGCCGGAAGAGGGAGAATGACACGAGTCACTTCAGGGATATATTGGTTAAATTGGTGAGAGGGAGGTGCTTTGATTTTATTGATAATGTCTTTAGTTTGTCCTGCCCTCAGCATGTACCAGCATGTTGTACAAAGAGTTCTGGGTTGGGGGACATACCTAGGGAAGACTGATTTGTGGATTTGTCACCTCCATAGGTGGATCAGCTTGGCCAAGGTCCAGTATATCTCAGAGCCTTAGTTTCTGTCAGATAGGAATGGATCTTGAAGGTCATTCATTTACTCATGTACCCAGAGGGTTACCTAGTCCCCAAGGACAGGAAACTTGTCATGTCCCCAAATGGCTAAGCCACCCAATCCCTCTCTAGATGGCCCTGACAGTTGGAAAATTCTTTATGTTGAATCACCATCTGTTTCTCTACAATTTGCAATCATTGGAGCCATACAGAATAAAATGTCTAATGCTGCCTCCACAAATATTTGAGGACTGCTAACACATTTCCTTCTTCCACTCACTCCACAAGGCTTCTTTTCTTCAAACTAAACATGCCCAGTTATTTCAAACAGGCAGGCAGTGTAGGGTAGTGGAAAGAACGCCAGCTTTAGAGCCAGACACATCTGCGTTCACTTCCCAGTCCCTTCACATATGAATGCTTAGCGTTCCAAGCTGCTGTATCTTTCTCTGAAATCTGTGAGTGAAAATAGTCCTCTAGCCAGTTTACCTTGAGGATTAGGGATACTTTGGGTGAAGGTCCATGCTCATAGTAGGATCTTAACATGAGAGTTGGTATGCCTTCAGTGACATGGTTTGCATTTCATTTTAGTTGATTGTCTCTGAACATATTTCTATTTATTTGTCTCTTAATATCTGCTCTGTAGAACAGAATAAAATATTTTCCATGAAATCTAATTAGCAGAATAGAGTACAATTAGCTTATTTGGGGTACTTCTCCATTGTCTACAATCCCAGAGGCATTGTTTTGAGTCCTATCACACCCACTCACTGAGTTCATCACCTAAAACCCCTTGGCTGTTTAATACGTGACGCTGTTTAACCAAGTTTCTCCCATCATGGACCTTTTAGTTTATTTGAGCCTTTAATTATGGCTCTTTAAAGTGGCAGTCCCGGTTCTGTCCTGTTGGCTCCATAAATATCCTGTATTTGTCATTTTATGGGTCTCAAACTGGGGTTAGAAAAATATGATAATTGAACCCGTGGCAGCAGCCGGTGCTAATCCCATACTGCTGTTGTACATCAGTGAGATAATAAAGCAGAGTTTTTCTAAATGAATTTTTGCACAAATCTGTGGTCTTATGATGTAGAACTGTGTTAGGGTAAGAATGGACAAGGGAAGTAGAATAAACCACTGGAAATGCTGCATGTGGGATCAGTCAGGGATAGCGTCTGGTGGGGGAACTGAAAGGGTGTTCTGAGAGCAAGCCAGAGGCTGTCTTTGAATTTATGTGTGGTTGCATGTTTTCTTAGGGCTCCAAGTGTTTTATACCTTGGGTCAGATTCTCCCCAAGGAAGCTCCCCTCTGGAAGTAAATCAGGCACATTTAGAAGATTCATTAACTCTTTGGCTCCTGGGACATTACAACCAGTATTTTCTCTCTCTAATTTCCAACAACATATTCCAGCTTTAGCCAAGCTGATCTCTTTTAGCTGACCTCTGCATTTTTCTTACTTCCTGTCTTTGTGCTGGAGGTTCTTCAAACAGGAATGCTTTCTCCCCCTAACCGAATTCTGGGTTCCATGCCCAACTCAACCTCAATCCTTCCTTCAAGGACATTTTTTCTAACCACTCAGTCCAAAGAGAAGATTTGTCCTGAGCACCAGATTTAGAATTCCTGTTGTCTTCTGGAGCTTTCCCCAGGATGGGCCCTCTGCCCCGGGGCCTTAAACTATTTCTCTTCCAATGGGTGGACATCTTCCTGTGGCCTTTGGGCTTTGGGATAAGATCCTTTATGGACATTAAGTCCATTAAATAGAAACTTGCCTTCATCTTGAATGCGGGTGCTTTTGGCCTGGTGAGAATGAAAGGGGGGAGTTTCCATTGATAATACATATGAAAAATATATAATGTAAAGGTTGTTACTGTTTTCATTAAAATAGGAAGCTTTCACTCTTTTGCAAGGACCAATTTAAATTTTCGGAAGTAATTCAATCTTTAAAAGGTGGTGGTGGTTAGTAAAAATAGGTAATCCTTGACTTGCAAAGGAACTAATTTAAATTTTAAGTAACCAATTAAGGCCATAAAGGGTTTAAATCCATCTGTGGCTTCTTTTTTTCTTTAGGCCAAATTCCAGACTCCCTAGGATGAAATACTCTTTCTAGCCTAATTTTTTGCCTATTGGTGCCCTGGTCCAAAGGACTTGCAATTTCCCCCAAATATGCAGTTCTGAGCCTCAGGGAATGCCGTCCCCTCTGGCTGGAATGTTCTTTGTCTTTCGGTAAACGTCTATTCATCATTCAAGACCACCCTTCCCCCTCCCCTTAATTACTTCCTCCCCTGTAGGCCCTCAAATTCTTGTACTTATTCATGCAGTATTTATTAGGGGCCTGCTTTGTGGCCGGCACTATGGCGGGCTCGGGGGATACAAAAGGTGAATGGTACTTGGGCTCAGCCTTTGAGGGCCTTACACGATGGGGAAGAGTGGGCCAACCTATCACAAAATATTGCTAGAAATTAAAAAGAAAATTTAAAAACCTTCAGTTCTTGTTTGTCTTCCCTTCCAGATGGCCAGCATCTTGTTTTAGGGTAGGGATCATCTTTCATTCTTTTGAGGCCCCCTGCTCTTAGCGCACTGTAGGTGCTAAGTAGGCATTTGTTTCATGAATGTTTTGACTAGCAGACCCCGGTAGAAGTCTACCTTGTATTGGACTCAGTCTGAATGTGTGGGTTTCTTCAGTGTCTGACGGGTGGCCTTGAGCTCCGCATTAGATTTCGGGTGGTTAGATTTCCTGTGCCGGTTGGTTTGGGCGGCGAAGTCGCAAAGTCCGGAGTAGTGGAGTGGCTCAGGCACTCGTGGAAGAGAGGCCTGCAGCGCCTCTTCTGGACAGACTTGGCACTGGCTGCCTGCCTCGCTTACTCGCGGCACGCTCTCGTTCATCAGAATTTCAATTTACAGCCAGAAAATGAACACAGACACTGATACTCTATTCTTTTCTTTTTAAAGATGTAGTAGATGCCTTTTAAAGGATTATGAATAAAATAATGCTTTCCCTCCTTCATGTACCTCTGGGACCCTTGCGTTGTGATTCCGTCTTTCATAAATAAAGGGGAGTCGTGCTGACGATCTGTGCAGCCCAGACCCTCTCTTCACTGGGACCGGGAATGAGGGTGCGTCTAGGGCGTCCGGGGCCGTCTGGCGCGTCCAGCACGCGGACCACGTCTCGCTGCTGTAAAGGAAACGTGCCGGGCGCCGCGACAGTGGCCGGAGCTGAGGAAACCGGACTTGCGGCAACTTTTTCTGGCTTTGCCGGGTAGCCACCCGCCATCCCATGAATTGGCCCACTAACGCAGTGGTGGGTACCGCAGAGCTGCTTGTTCCCTAACTACTTGGTCGGTCTTTGCTGCTCACCCATAGTTAGGGGATTAGGGGTGTTGAGTGCTCGCGGCTTGCCGCTTCAGACGTGGCATGCTCACGGTTCAATGCTTGGAGCGTTAGATAGGAGCAGGCGACACAGCCGGCATTCCTAAGTCCCACAGCCCCTGAGGTCGAGCGCCCACACTCTGGGCTGGGGGTGGTCCAAGAGGAATGCTGGGGTCTCAAGGGTTTGCTGTTTTTGCACGCGGCAATATCTTGCCAGGGAAGGTTTTCTATGTAGACCCTCGCGTGGGGTTGCAGCTTGGCCAGGAAGCAGCAGGTTCCTAGCTGGTGGTGGCGGGGGTCCACAAATCTTAAGGTGCCCCCTACAGGAGCTGCTGTGATGGGCATCCGTCTCTGCTGCCGCGGTGGTGGCGCGGGCAGCTGGGAGGGGCTCTGCGGTGGCGAGTGGGCGGGAGGGCGGCGGTGGTGCGGTGGGCGGGCCAGAGGCGGGGCGCGGGTGGGCTCTAAAAGTCGGTGCCCACTCGCTCCGCGCTGCAGCCGCCACTGCACATTCCGGTGCATCGCTTGCTCCGCGCGGCAGCGCACGCCCGAGTGGCCACTGGCTCCCGGCCGTGGCCACCCTTCGCAGGCTGTGAGCTGTGCCCCTGCTGCAGGCGCCGCGGGCGCCCGGTGCTCTGCAACCCTGCGGCGGGCGGCATGGGATAACCCGGCCATGGTGCGCCGAGATCGCCTCCGCAGGTGGGTGCGCGGGCGATGGCTTGCACGAGGGGGTGTGGCTGGTCGTCCCGGGACTGGGGTATGGGCTAGTGGTGGAGACAACGCTTTTGCGAGCTCGGGCTGCCTCCAGTTTCGGGCGGGCAGGATTATTCTTGTCCTCGGAGCCTGGTCTCCCCGCTTGGGGAAGCAGGATGTCTCTCCTGTGCATAACAGAATATTTGGAACTCGGGATCTCCTTGATTTAAGATTTCTGCGTCACCTTGGCTTAATTTAGGATCTCTAGATCCTAGTACCGCCCCAGTGTGATTTACGATTTTTAGAACCGGGCATTGCCCAGGCACGATTTTAGGGTTTTTTAGACCCAGTCCTCGCTGTGGTAGGATTTAGCATTTCTAGACCGTGGCATTGCCCTAGTGTGATTTAGGATTTTTAGACCCCTCCATTACTACGGCATGACTTAGGATTTCTAGACATGGGCATTGCCCTAGTGAGGTTTTAGGCTTTTAGACCCCGCCATTGTCCTTACGCGATTTGGGATTTCTAGATCCCGGTGTTGATTTAGAATTTTTAGAACCCCGCTGTAGCTGTGGTGTGCTGCAGCGCGTCTTAGGATTTCGGGAACCTGGGTGTTGTGATGGCGTGACTTAAGATTTTAAGACCACAGAATCGTAGCAGCGTGATCACCTCTGCGCGATTTAGGATTTCAAGACCGGGGTGTCGCAGGGGCTTGAGTTACCGCGTACGTGTGACCAGAACTTGCAGTGCGGGATCACAGCTGCGTAAGTATTTTTTTTTTTTTTTTATTTCAGTACGGAGAAGCTCAGGCCAGAGTGGTGAGGTGACCACATTGTCACAGTGTTACACCAGAATTGTTTGCCTTGGTTTAGCAGGTTGATACGGTGGTTCTCCTGGAGATGCCATCAGGTGGGCGCCGGTTTGGTGGTATTAGATGAGTATTTTTTTGCGTTTACAAGAGGGAGAAATCAAGGCTCAGAAATTTCCAGAAAGTTTGTTACTGGAGCTTGTTGAATTTCCTCAACTCTTAGCTCATCAAATAATGGGGATTTTGGCAAAAAAAAAATTGTTTCATCCATTTTGCCTAGTGATTGTCAGATTACTTGACTACTAAAAATCTTGAAATGTCTTTGGGGCATTTTTACTGAGGTAAATAAGACAGAAGTCGGCCCCCTGAAGGGTTGCCTCTTTGCTTTCTTGGAGTGGAATGAGAGCGTGGAGGGTAGAGTGCAGGTTGTGTATGTGTCGGTTGCCTCTTTTTGCAGCCCCCCAGCCTCCCCTGTTCACCGCCTGGACAGCCCCTCCCCGGCTCTTTGCTGAGTCACTGCAGAGCTTCCGTTGCTAGAAACCGTGATCCGAGCGGTGAGAAGCGTGGGGGACAGGAGTGGTGAATTGCGCACGTGAAAATGCGTGCGCTTACGTGTAGGACCCAAGTGCCCAGAAAATGATCATCAAAACCCAGTGCTCTTTGTCATCGGACCTTTCAAGGCTGTACTGGGATGTAACTTGATATCGTTGTGGGGTGAAAATTGTGATATGACCATGTTCTGGCACTTCTTAAAATCATTTCTGCTATTACCTTGAAAGGTAGAACCAAATTTTTATTTTTGGACACTAATTTCTTGTTTTATGGATAGGTACTTTGGAGGAAAAAAGAAATGACTGCCCAAGCGATGCCGTAACAATAGTCTGGGGAGCTGAAATTCTTTACGGGACATGTTATTTTACCACTGTGGAACCACGGGTTTATTTTTAGAGTTTAAAAAATATTTTCTGAGTGGTTATTTTGCCGTACGTGGCATGCGTGTGTGTCCAAACAGAAAGCCATTTCCACCAGGGCTTTAGCAATTAATTTCCTTTACTGATAGCTCTATTTTCTTGACAGTTCTAATTTTAGTTTTAGAATGTCTTATTTCCATTCTGATTGTTTTGAAAGAACTTACATTCTACTGACAGTTCTTTCCCTGGTGACCATTGGGAGTCATGGACTAGAAACAGGGAACTGTTTCTAATTCCTGTTTAGCATTCCTTGTCAATGTAGATAAAATGACCTGGACCCTTGAAATCTTGGGCATGGGAAGGTTGGGCGTACAAATCAGTGGTTTCCTTTCAAAGACAAAACCAGTTCCCACATGCTGGGTTTCAGCTCTGTCTTATTAAAGGCGGGAGGAGACGGTCCTATGAATTAAATAAACGGGAACTTCCTCAAGAGTCTGCTAAGAAAAGCAGAAATGTAATCTGTTGCCCTGACCTCTCAAGAGATTAGATACTCAGGGTCATGACAAAGCTGCTTATGTTGGAATATACAGTGCGGCTATCTTTCTCCTTTCAGAGACTCTTCACCCTGAGCAGTTTCTCAGCCCAAATCTAGATAGTAGTACTAAATCTGGCTTCACTTGGGCAGAAGGGTTGATAAAAACTAGTTAAAAATCAGGGGCAGCTCTCTGCTTAAGAACATATGTTAAATTACTGCATGTAGTTTTTTTTTTAACATTAGGTAGTACATACAGGCAGTCCCAGGTTATGAAAGAGATAGGTTCTGTAGGTTTGTTCCTAAGTTGGATTTGTATGTATTTTGGAACATACATGTTCTATTACCTGTGATAGCCTGCATTTGTAACTGTGAGTTATATGTAAGTCAGATGTTTGTAACTCAGGGACTTAACTGTAACAGTCCTGGTTTGTAAGTGCAATTTATACGTTGGATGTTTGTAACTCAGGTACTGCCTATATATATATTTCAGATATTTTCCTGGTGGGTAAATGGTAGAGCTTTTAGGATAAATAGGAGTGAAATTGTTTTTTTCTTGAGAAGCCTTGATAAGGGCTGATCATGTGTACCAGTAATCTTCCTTTGACTTATAGAAAGCCCTTCAGAAGGTATGGGAAGAGCACAAGGGGGGGGGGGCTAAGGGTTAAAGTGGGAGAGCAGAGGTGGAAGATTACATATTGAGATAAGTATACTTTCCTTAAAATTAGGGTGGTGAGCAATTGTGCTGACTGCCATAGCAGGCAGATGTGCAGTAGTGTTCTTGATAAACTCTTTCCTGTGGTCCATGTGGAGGGTAGGTATAGAAATTTCCCATCCTATCATACCAGTTTTTGGCTTGTAGATGAGTATATAGTGTCGTCCAGACTGCTTATGGTGGGTCTCTGCTTTTCCTCCAGGATGCGGGAGTGGTGGGTCCAGGTGGGGCTGTTGGCTGTGCCCCTGCTTGCGGCGTACCTGCATATCCCACCCCCGCAGCTTTCCCCTGCCCTTCACTCATGGAAGTCTTCAGGCAAATTTTTCACTTACAAGGGACTGCGGATCTTCTACCAAGGTGAGACCTGGAGTATTGGAACACCTGCACGTGTAGGTCCCAGTAATGCCAGCTGAGGTACTTATTTTGTGTCCATTAGTCTCTGTTGCTCCTTCCTGACAGAGGCGAGTAACCCCTATTTCTGTGTAGTGTGCTTGAGGGAATGAACTAATTCCCCTCATTTACTTGAAGGAGGGAAATAGAAAACTGCTGGGAGGGTGGGTGTGGAACTGAGATTCCCCTCTTGAATAGGCCTGGCTATTTATTTATTATATTTTATTATTTTACATATTTTATTCTTTTTTTGAGAACGGGGTCTCACTCTTGCTCAGCCAAGTCTCCAACTCCTGAGCTCAGGCAATCCACCTATCTCAGCCTCGCAGAGTAGTGCTAGGATTACAGGCATGAGCCACTGCGCCTGACAGGCTTGACTTTTTTTTTTTTTTTTTGGAGACAGTTTTAGTTTGTCACCTCCGTAGAGTGCCATAGTGGTACTGTATGGTAGGGGTCATAGTTCACAGCAACCTCAAACTCTTGGGCTCAAGTGATCCTTTTGCTTCAGCCTCCCATACAGCTGGGGTTACAGGTGCCCACCACAATTCCCAGCTATTTTTAGACAGGGTCTTACTCTGGCTTCGGCTGGTCTTGAACTCCTGAGCTCAAGCAGTCTACCCACCTTGGCCTGACAGACCTGACTTTGATATAACTTTTCTTTGTGGCCTAATTTTGTATTCAGATACTAGTTTTTTGGGGTTTTTTTTTTTTTTTTTTTTTTGATAGAGAGTCTCATGCTATTGCCCAGGCTAGACTGTCATGGCCTCAGTGTAGCTCGTAAGAACCTCAAACTCCCAGGCTCAAGCAATTCTGCCTTAGCCTCTCAAATAGCTGGGACTATAGGCACCTACCACCATACTTGGCTACTTTTTTTATTTTTAGTGGAGGTGGGTCTGGCTCTTGCTCCGGGCTGGTCTTGAACTCCTGAGCTCAAACAGTCCTCCCACCTGTCTCCCGGAGCAGTAGGATTATATGTGTGAGCCACCCCTACCTTTCAGATCCTAAATTTTTTTTTGAGGTCCCCTAGTTCGGTTAATATATGCAGTATTCCTAGGTGTAACCACAATTGGTTCTGTCCCCCTACCATCCCTGATTTCATTTTATAAAATTATTTTCTATAAAGATTCTTTGTTATATACTTATCTAAATGTGATTTAAGGGTGTGGTTCCACCTAATGGGCAAGGGTATATGGCACATCTCCTGTGTGCGGGACACAACTACAACAGAGACGTTACCTAAAAAATACAAACAGCGTAACCTTTAACCATTTGTACCCTCATTTATCTGAGATAAAAAATGTGATTTAAGTCTTACACCGTCGTATAAACTACTTTGCTAATGATGATTATTATGACCACTACTTAATGTCAGTAATTACTGTATGTCAAGCATTAAGTTATGTTTTCAGCTTTCATTGTTTAATCTTTACTACAGCCATTTGGAGATAGGTGCTGCACAGTTAACTTCGTTGTATAGGTGAAGAAAAACCGATTGGGAAAGATTTCTTTTGGGCGGGGGTCAAGAGCAATAACGAAAAATGTTTGTCATAAACCGTTTTTCATTATTGCTCCTGACCTCCTCTCATTTTCTATATTCAATTAAGTAAGTATATAATTTTCTTTATGTTGGTTTGGGTTGTTTCCATTTTTGTCAATGTTTTAAATAGTTAATGTTGTATATGGTTTATTTTTTCCTTTTTCAAAATACAGTACTTAAATGCAATGACTTTATTTGTATAGATCCTCAAGAACAAGACTGAAGCTAAAGTATATAAAAATTTTAATTGCTCCCAACTAAATTATTTTTGAATGCCTTACCAAATTTTTATGCCAATGGTGATATATGTCAGTTTTAATCCAATACTATTAGAAAGGCTAATACTGTCTAAATTAAATGTTCACCTAATTTAAAAGATGTTTAATGATTCCATATTGTCATGTGCATTAAAAACATTCGTGTCTATGTTGACAAACTCTTTATAGTTGATGTAATTCTGTAATCGTTTTAACCATTATGCTTGTGAAATTGGATTGGGTCTCTGCTGAAATAAAAAGTGCTGGACAGATAGCACTTAACTAAGGCGTATGTCGGAAGAGTTGCCATATCATAGAGAATTTTTGTGAGGCTGTTAATAATGAAGTACACAGAATTTGTAGTTTGTGTGTTGGGTTGTGCTTCTAACAGTGAAAGTTTATACTTTTTACTGTGAAAAACAGCTTACATATTAATACAGAATAAAGGCAGGAATGCAGATATAAATGCCTTTAAAAACGAGGTGAAAGTAGGCAAACTGCCTTCAATTATTTTCACAGCGTGCTTTTACAATTTTAAAATACACAGATTAGAAGGAGAAAATATTTGTTACCTAACGCAAGCTTGCATTTTATTATTTATTTATTATGTTGCCCGGACTGGAGTTGAACTCCTATGCTCAAGTGATCCCTGACCTCAGCCTTCTGAGTGGCAGGGACTACAGGCATGTGCCACTGCACCCAGCTTAAGCTTGCCTTTAAAAAAAAAAAAAAAAGTATCTTTTTCTAATGAAACTGGGTCTTGCTATGTCTCCCCTGGTTAGAATGCAGTGATGGGATCAAAGCTCACGGCAACCTCAAACCTGGGCTCAGACGATCCTCCTGCCTCAGTCTCCCAAATAGCTGGGATTATAGACATGCCATTATGCCCAGCTCAATTTTCTATTTTTGCAAGTGTGAGCCATCTCGCCCAGCCAAAATGTATCATTTTAATGTTATTAATTTGGTCACAGTTTTTGTCCTTTGTATCAGTTACTTAGGTTTTAGTTATCTTCAAGGTTATTTTTATAGGGATTCAGCCTAATTGATCTCTTTTCTTTTTCCTAGACTCTGTAGGTGTGGTTGGAAGCCCGGAGATAGTTGTGCTTTTACACGGCTTTCCAACATCCAGCTATGACTGGTACAAGGTAATGAACTCAGGTTTCTAGGTTCTACTCTGTTTTAAAAAATCCCAAATTAAGAATTTTGTTAGCACTAGAAGGCCCTTGCAAATTTGAATCACTTCATAAAATAGTATTAAATGTCGAACTGTTTCCTATTTACTGTAAGGGAGTAAAAAAGATCTTTGGCAATCCGGAAAGGATTATTGAAAGTTATCCTTCTTCAATAGAGATTAAGTACTAGGAATAAGTCACTTTCCAAGAGGATCATCTGTGGGGGCCTGCAGTGGTTTCACAAGGTTTTTCTCGTTATTGTAGTCTGTTAACGTCAATATAGAGATAAAGTTCCTGCGCAGCTCTAGATTGGGGGAAGGCCCAGGCACAGAAAGTCCAAATTGTTCTCTCTCTCTTTTTTTTAATAGATTTGGGAAGGTCTGACCTTGAGGTTTCATCGAGTGATTGCCCTTGATTTCTTAGGCTTTGGCTTCAGTGACAAACCGGTAAGCAGCATCTATCTGGGAACAGTGTGAGTGGGTGGGGTAGATATGGACAGAGGGGTCAGGCTGCTGGAGAGATCTGTACTCAGGACTTTATCCTATATATCTGGGCTTTCCTTTCCTCAGAGACCACATCACTATTCCATATTTGAGCAAGCCAGCATCGTGGAATCCCTTCTGCGGCACTTGGGGCTCCATAACCGCAGGATCAATCTTTTGTCTCATGATTATGGAGATATTGTTGCTCAGGAGCTGATCTATAGGTCAGTGAAGTACTAGCTTAAGATGCTGGGAATGTAAACTGTCCTTAGACCCTTTCTTTTTCCCTTTTCCCCCTTAGAAGTTTGCCTTCAGCTGCTGCTTTGGTATTAAGTCTACTCAGCTACATGTGTGTTTCTCATTTCCTATTTAGGTACAAGCAGAATCGATCTGGTCGGCTTACCATAAAGAGTCTCTGTCTGTCAAATGGAGGTAATTGCTTTGGCAGTAGGTGGAAAGGGGGTGTAGCCTAGAAGGGTGACCTTTAGTTGTCACAGTGATGTCTAATTTAGTTAACAGGGTCTACTGTTCTACAAGTAGAAACAAACTGAGATCTTTACCTTTATTTGTGCCATGGACAGCTTTGGTAATCTGATTAAATTTTGATATTTCTCAATATTCTTATTTATTTTTTATCTTTTTTTTCCAGTTTTTGGCTGGGGCTGGGTTTGAACCCGCCACCTCTGGCATATGGGGCCGGCGCCTCTGAGCCACAGGCGCCGCCCTATTTTTTATCTTTTTGAGACACAGTCTCACTTTGTCACCCTCCGAAGAGTGCTGTCGTGTCATAGCTCACAGCAACCTCCAAATCTTGGGCTTAAGCGATTCTCTTGCCTCAGCCTCCCAAGTATATGGAACTACAGTTTCCTGCCACAATGCCTGGCTGGGGTCTTGCACTTGCTCAGTCTCGAACCTGTGATTTCAGGGCAGTCCACCTGCCTCAGCCTTCCAGAGTGCTAGGATTACAGGTGGGAGCCACTGCGCTCTGCTAATATTTTAATTTTTTAAAATAATTCTTTTTTTCTTTTTTCTTTTTTTGAGACAAGAGTCTCACTATGTAGCCCGGGGTAGAGTGCCGTGGCATCACAGCAACCTCAAACTCTTGGGCCTTAAGTGATTCTCTTGCCTCAGCCTCCCGAGTAGCTGGGACTACAGGCGCCCACTACAGTCCCTGGCTATGTTGCAGTTGTCATTGTTGTTTAGCAGGCCCGGGCAAGGCTCAAACCTGGCAGCCCCAGTGTATGTGGCTGGCGCCCTAACCACTGAACTACGGGCACTGAACCTAAAATATTTCTTTATTTTGGAGACAGTCTCACTCTGTTGCCCCACACTAGAGTGCATGGCCTTAGCCTCACTCACTGCAACCTCAAACTCTTGGGCTCAAGCGATCCTTTTGCCTCAGTCTCCTGGGTAGCGAGGACTACAGGTGCCCACCACAGTGCCCAGCTAGTTTTTCCAATTTCAGTTAAGACTTGGGGTTTGCTTTGTGCAGGCTGGTCTTGCAACTCCTGAGCTCAAGCCATCCTCCTGCCTCAGCCTCTCAGATTACTAGGGATTACAGGTATGAGCTACCATGCCTGGCTTCAGTATTTTTTTTTCCTTTTTTTTTTTGGAGACAGAGCCTCAAGCTGTCCCCCTGGGTAGAGTGCTGTGACATCACAGCTCACGACAACCTCCAACTCCTGGGCTCAAGCGAGTCTCCTGCCTCACCCTCCCAAGTAGCTGGGACCA